TCGAAATATCATCCAAATACATGATTAGTAGAGTTTTACCAGTAGTTGTGTGAAGACAGTAAATAGAGGGGTCTAGTCCATATAATTGGAGACCAAACTCAATCTCCACTTCACCAAATATAACAAACTAAGTGCTAGGAGACCATTGTATACATAAAAGGACTTACTCAATGGCAAACAAGCTCTAATTCCAAGCAACAAACCTATGAAATTGCTCCATTTATACTTCCTCTGCAAGGTCTCCATGCAAGAAAGGATTCTTGATTTCTACTTAATGCAATGACCCAATTGACAGCAAGCAAGATATAGCAAAAAAAATTGTAACCTGCCAAAACTGCTCCAATCCGTTGACTCTATTGTGGTTTTAAGTCGGATCCAATCTGAACCAGGGCAGGACAGAGTGATTTTTTTTATCTCACCTAACTGGGGCGGAGCAGGTTCGTATTTAGTTGTGAAAAAAATCCGTCCGAATCTGATCCAGTAATTTTTAATTAAAAATAAAAATTGTAACCTGCCAAACTTGCTCCAATCCGTTGACTCTATTGTGGTTTTAAGTCGGATCCGATCCGAACCAGGGCAGGACAGAGTGATTTTTTTTATCTCACCTAACTGGGGCGGAGCAGGTTCGTATTTAGTTGTGAAAAAAATGTCTGAATCTGATCCAGTAATTTTTAATTAAAAATAAAAATTGTAACCTGCCAAACCTGCTCCAATCCGTTGACTCTATTGTGGTTTTAAGTCGGATCCGATCCGAACCAGGGCAGGACAGAGTGATTTTTTTTATCTCACCTAACTGGGGCGGATTAGGTTCGTATTTAGTTGTGAAAAAAATCTGTCCGAATCTGATCCAATAATTTTTAATTAAAAATAAAAATTGTAACCTGCCAAACCTGCTCCAATCCGTTGACTCTATTGTGGTTTTAAGTCGGATCCGATTCGAACCAGGGTAGGACAGAGTGATTTTTTTTCTCACCTAACTGGGGCGAATCATGTTCGTATTTAGTTGTGAAAAAAATCTGTCCGAATCTGATCCAGTAATTTTTAATTAAAAATAAAAATTGTAACCTGCCAAACCTGCTTCAATCCGTTGACTCTATTGTGGTTTTAAGTCGGATCCGATCCGAACCAGGGCAGGATAGAGTGATTTTTTTTATCTCACCTAACTGGGTCGGATCAGGTTCGTATTTAGTTGTGAAAAAAATCTTGTCCGAATCTGATCCAGTAATTTTTAATTAAAAATAAAAATTGTAATCTGCCAAACCTGCTCCAATCCGTTGACTCTATTGTGGTTTTAAGTCGGATCCGATCCGAACCAGGGCAGGACAGAGTGATTTTTTTTATCTCACCTAACTGGGGCGGATCAAGTTCGTATTTAGTTGTGAAAAAAAAATCTGTCCGAATCTGACCCAGTAATTTTTAATTAAAAATAAAATCATATATATATATATATATATATATTGAAACCAAAAATGGGTTTCAGTACATATATATATTAACTGGAACCTAAAGCTTTTGTGTTTCAAGTGTGTGTGTATATATATACATAAACAAACATTGATTTTCTCTACTGCTGCTACTCAAGCTCTCTTACATCGTCAATGCTGACTCCATTGGTCCAAATAGAAATTACACCCATAGGTATAACATATACAATCTCAGTTTGGGGAGTAAAGTATCCAAATAATCGATAGAATAAGGTTGAGTATATCCTTTAGCCACAAAATGGGATATCAACCTACATAGAGAACCATGGCTTAACTTCCATTGGTATTACACCCACTGACAATCCACAATTACTAGTAGGAAGTTCCGGTAGCTCCAAGTACCATTATGCTCTACAGCATTCTCTTCTCATAGTTGCTTGCCAACCAAAATGAGAAAGCCTCAAAAATAAATTTAGGAACAAAAACATACTGATGTAAAGAAAGAATAATATGAAGCAGGTAAATCGTCATAGGAAACAAAGTTGAATATAAGATAAGACATGCAAGTGTTTGACTTTGCAAAAAGCAATTAAGACTAGGTCATGAGGTGTTGGGCGCAAGCTCCAGTGCCGAAGGATCCCTGTAAAGTAGGCTCAACATAACTCGTCAAGGCCATAAATCGAACAAGCAAGATGTTGGCTCGCTTCAATACTTCACTGACAGGAGTCTTATCTAGTACATAAATAGCAAAGCAAAGAAAAGCTTTGGATCTACACTAACAATATTTTAATCCCAGAAACCAAAAAGTATGAACAAATCAACAAGAGTTCTAGCAGTAGTTCACTGGTGTCTTTGTTTAGAGGGGTAGGAAAGAAAGCATAGCAAAGGGAAAAAAAAGAAACTCTATGCACATTGTTCATGTTGTAGGTTGCAAAATATGACGCTTCTAGGGATGGTCACTGGACGGGCTGTAGAGTAACCTGCACCCATCGCATGTGGGGTGCATACATATTGTAATAAGTGAGTTACAAGCTGGGTTCAGGTAGAAAAGTAAAAACGTTATGCGGCAAGAATAGGTTTACTAGTCTATCCACCCTAGAGCCAACTCACCTCGACCTATAAAGTTACATGTTAAATACTAATCCTTAACCTTTAATAAAATTAAAAGTCTGTCACCTTATGTATGGAAATCTTAGGTCTTTTTTAATATTTATTTCTCATTTGTTCCTCCACTCACATGATCTCACCCCTTTTCTTACTCGGCCACCATTCTCAGAGACTCACAAATCACAATCATCCCCCTTTCCCGCACTCCCACCTTCATTTCACAACCAACCGCCATTAAAAAACCTACCTCTGTAGTCATCTTACAATCCCTCTCTTATTTGTTAAGCCTTCCTCTCTTCATACAAATGACAACTAGCAAACCTCTCCCCCCACTTGGTCATCACCACATCTCTCAAATCCCAGTGAAAAGGCAAATTAAATATCAGCTTTTCTCCTCAAAGCCTCAAAACCGGTGTCACTACCTCTCCAAAATCTTTCAACTCCCTAAAATTCACCGTGATTGATGCAGAACTCAAGATCAACAAGTACAATCCAAAACTCACATATATACTTTAGCATGCAACTTAATCCCTAAACAAACTCTCCCTACTTAACTAACAATCAACCTGTAATTGAGAACTAAGGTAATGGAATAAATAAATTGATTAGAACACCACAAGAAATATCTTGATAAATTAAAATCAACTCAAACGAAATTAATGAAACCACAACAAGTTATTTTGATGAGTAGACACCAATTTTCCACTTAATAGAAGGTTGAAGAGACCTCCCGCAAGAGCAAATTAGTTAAAGGCTAACCAAAACTACAAAGTTTTAATTTTATTGATCTCAAACTTGAACTTGAATTGAAATTGAAATACATAAGGCTTATTTATAGATGTAGGCCATGAGACTCTTTAAAGAAAGAAAACTCTCAAAGTAGCAAGGACTCTAACTATTATGATTATCTCTAACTCTTAAGAGATCATGGTTCACATAATAATGACTCCTTAAAATAAAGAAAATAAAATTATAAAGATTCTTGTGCAGCCATCCATCATGATTTCCATCTTGGAGATTTGGTTGTGATGGATAAGGACTCTTGAATCATACTTGAAGATGAAATCCAAATTCGGTAATAACTCCAACAAGTAGACAACTCCCGATCTTGATGCTTGGATAAGACTCCTTATGCAAGTTGAAGTTAAAAACCCAGTCTTTGATGATAAGAGTGAACGGCTAGAATTGTAGACAAGGTGGGAGGCTTTAGCTTGGAATCCCGGCCAGATTTTGTGGGAGAAAATCTTGGATTCTCCACACACTTTTCCACCTCCTTTTTGGTGAGAGAACTCGGCTAGGACTCTTGAAAGAAGAGTAGGATGGCTCCCATGTTTGTAGGGATGAAAAATCTGAGAGACCTTGATGGTGAAAACTCTTCTGGTGGTCGCTTGCTTGAAGACTTTTTGGAAGAGATTTGGCTGAACTTCCCTAGGTGTTAGGACTCTTAAATGGCCGGTTGTGAAGAGTTGAAAAAGGAGAAAAATTCTTGTGAAGGGTTGGCCGCTTGTGATGAGAAAAATTAGGAGAAAATTTCTCTGAGTGATAGAAAATTTCTCATGTACAAATCCAAGTTGTCCATAATTTTGAGGACTCCTTTTGCCTTGGTTTTGATGAGTTGGAAATGAACAAAACACCTTAAGGATGAGTGGTTGAGAGTCCTTGAGGTGTAGCATTCTTTAAGGGTCAGTTCTGCCCTTGTTGTAGGACAAGTTCCTGGCCGTCTCTTCCCTTAACTTGATGTGCTCAGCTTTCCCCTTTCAAGGCATTTAAAGTTTGGCCCAAAGCTCTCCTTTTCATGGATCCATCCCTTGATATAAACTTAAAAGTCTCTCTTGAATTTATTGGCCCATGTTCTTGTGATCTTCCCTCCATAAAGCCGAAGTGCACCTTGAAGTGCGTTCATCATAGGCTTTTCCCCATATGAACTTTGAATTGGATCTTTTCTTTCACTTAAATGGACCAAGCCATGAGGATCTTTCTTTGGATGGACTTTGTCATGACTTCCATGCTTCATGAGGCCTAAATTGTGGCCTTTTGAGCTCATGAAGCTGTGAGCTTCCATGTGATCTTTCATGTGATTTTAAGTTACATCTTTGTCATGGGATCTCATGTAACTTAGTGTGAGTTGCCCCCCATTTGCTCGCATCAGTGATGCTTTGCTGTAACCCACTCACATGAAACTAGTTGGAGAAGTTTTCTTCAATCTTTTTCATATATTCAACAAAATTCTTGCAACTACTTTTTTCTCTTCTCATATTAATTTTGTTTTCATATCTAATTTAGAATTAATTTCTTTGTGGAAAGGTTCATATATTTTGGTTTGCAGAAGTTATACTGCAAATGGATTTTATTATTGTATGCTCCAAATGGTTGCTTTTGAGTTCTAAGGATTTTATCATTGTAGTGTTATATGTCTTTGATTGAGGAAGTTATTTTATGGAATACCCATTTCTCAAACCGAATTAGGTTTTTTTTATTCTTTTTTTTTTTAAATAAAAGTATGAAGTTGTATTGAAGTAAAGGTGTCATAGGGGCAACGCCCATTTACAAAAAATTTACAAATCAATTAAATAATCGACTATAGAACCAAGATCATCAAAGCATTCGATGTTATGTCCTAAAATAGTGGACCCGAAATAATAGAACCAATTGTCAGTGATGATTCTGAAGTTGACTTCTTTTCCTTAGAAAGTACGATTGTTTCTTTCTTTCCAAATAACCCAAAATATAGTGAGAGGGACTAGTCTAAAAGTTTTCTTGTGACAACTCAATCCTTCCCATGCAAGCAGCTCATCCAAAATTGATTTATATTTGACCCAAGATAGTCCCATGGGGCCAAGAATAGTAGAATAGAGGCTGTGAGAGACCGAACATCCCAGGAGTCAGTGATTACACATTTCATTGCTGTTTTTGTAGAGAAAACATCTATTGACAATTATAAAGCCTCTTTTCATTAAATTATCTAGTGTAAAAATGCGGCCATTTGCTCCTTCCCATGCAAAAAAAGAAATTCTTGGAGTGGCACCCGATTTCCAAATAATATTGGCTGGAAATTTTGTCTATTCTTATGGAATATTGCCGACCAAAGTCTTATACAGGAACTTAACTGAGAAATTACCATAGTTGGTGTGTCGCTGGATGAGTTTGTCATTACTGTCAGTTAGATGAACGTGAAACAGAATTTGGAGCAAATGTTCATATTCCTCAATTTTCCAATCTTGAAGTTTCTAAACACT